ATTGTGCTCTCTCTCGAATGAAAGGGATTCTGACGTTTTATCCTAATTCTCAAGAGATGATAGATCAATTAAAAAACATCACACATCAATGGATAATGGAGCAATGAAAATCATACTTTTTAATATAATTTTTATAACACCGTCATGTATCGGTACAGAACGGGGCGCAGGAGGGAAATAAGGTGACTAGCTACTGCTGGCTCTGCAACAAAGGGTTAATTGTACAACTACAACACTAGAAATGATACAGAATAAAAGACCACAAGGGGTCAGGAAAACAAGCTACAAAAAAAAACATAAGGGAACACAGTCAGAGAACAGGGCAACAGAGAGGGCAGTGTCCTGTACTATGAAGCAGGGTTACTGGCTTATCAGGGTAACTTGTCGAATTTAAGGTAGTCTGGGCAAAATGTAAGTAAACGAATATAAAGTCCATTTAAACTGTAGCACCATAAATCCAACAAGTTACCCTGATAAGCCAGTAACCCCGCTTCGTAGTACAGGCCGCAGAACTACAAAAATAACAAAAGTAACTAAAAAATGACCAACTAACAAACTGAGTAAGAGAAGGCACTTCAGTATACACAAGAAATCAGGGCAAACAAAGTACAGGTGTAATCAACTCAGCCAATCAAAGGGAACACAGGATCTTGTGGCCACAAGATCCTGATGAATTGCAAACACATATTGTTATCCTGGTTACAAACAGGGGATGTTGGAGAGTTCCTTATTACATAAAAACCATATATGAATTCAAGACAACCTCACTTATGGCCTTAAAATTTCCAATGCAGAATGGAACCCAGAAAGCTGCCTCCTCACCAGGTTGAGATTGATGCGATTCAGCAAAACAGCACCCAGATATTCCACAAAGTGCACTTCCCCAATGACACCGAGGAGGTTAGTGGCTCTGAATGTCAATGACGTAGAAACATATCTGCCTTTCATCACTTTCTTACATGTATACATTCATCCTCGTCAGATCTTTGAGGTGGGGAGCAGCACCCGAATCCGGGACCTCATTCAGAGCATTGCTGCTCAACTCAATTTACTCTCAGCAGATGGTTTCAGCATATTTCTAAAAACCCCTGACAAGGTCAGTCACAAAGACATTTTCTTAACCCATAATTTTACAAAGGCTACTAATACTGAGTAATCTGTAGTATTAAAAAGGAATTTCTCAGCACATAATCGTTTTGTTTATCTCCACTTTTAGGTCCTGAGTTTGAATGAAGTAGACTACTTTTTTGATAGCCTGAGGCAGATCACAGACTGGTCAAAGAATTCCATGAGAACCAAGGATGGTAAATGCAATTATTCCTACATAAAGTAGTCATTATAGTTAAATTCTAGCTATGACTTTCATAACTGTCAGTGTATCTTAAGCCATTTCTTGTACTTTGCAGGCGGGGCAATCAATGTGACTTACACAGTGTTCTTCATGAGGAAGCTCTGGTTCAACGTCAGTCCAGGAAGAGATCTAGAGGCGGACTTGATCTTCCATTACCCACAGGTGCAAAGTGCTTTTATCTGAAGAATAACATCAAATGCAATGTAGTTGGTTACATTGTGAGTAAGTACTAAAGAATCAGAGTTAGCTTTATTTATGAACTGTTATGCATGTACAAGGATTTTTTTGAGCATAAACAGTAGCTGTGTGTATAATGAAACATCATGTAGTATGCACAAAAAATATAAGTAATTGTTGCATTTTTAAGAATAGTTAGGTTGTCCAATTGTTCTTTTCCAACATATTAACAATTGTATAATTGGAGGGGGTTTAGTGCTATCTATTCAACTAAGTTGTTCGGCTAGTAGTTGCCTAATTTTGGAGATATCGGCCATAGAAATATTGAGCTCCTCTCAAATGTAAACTCCACACACCAATCGTATCATTGTGCAGAAGATATTGGAAGGGTCCTCTTAAGAACATAAGAACTATACAAACGAGAGGAGGCCATTCGGCCCATCGAGCTCGCTTGGGGAGAACTTAACTAATAGCTCAGAGTTGTAAAAATCTTATCTAGCTCTGATTTAAAGGAACCCAAGGATTCAGCTTGCACTACGTTATCAGGAAGACTATTCCATACTCTGACTACACGTTGTGTAAAGAAGTGCTTCCTTAAATCCAGTTTGAAATGTTCTCCCGAAAGTTCCACATCTTCTGTGCAGTGATACGATAGGAGTGTGGAGTTTGGTTTAAAATGTATTTTTCAAGGTCTTTTATCATGACAGAAAGAATGGCATTCTATGGCATTATATGCGAGTGAAGCCCGACATTTCTATGGCTGATATATCCAAAACTAGGTAACTCCCTGCAGAACAAACTAGATGGATAGACAGCACTAAAACCCCTCTAAATCAGTCTTCGGTTTTTCAGGTTGGGGTGAACAACCCCTTTAATCTTGAAAGAGCTATTTGGTTGACATAACTTTGTGCCCCGTGCTTTTCTAGGAATTGCCAAAGTACTTACGTGGATACCACAAGTGCACCAAGGAGGATATGATTAACATGGCCAGCCTGCTCTTCAGAGCAAAAGTTAACAATGACATATCTCAGTGTGCCACTATCCCAAAGGTGTTGAAAGAGCTGGTGCCTTGTGACCAGCTGAAGGCCATGTCATCAGAGGAGTGGAGGAAGGTAAGCAGCTGTGGGTCCTGGGGCAGAAGCCGGCAAAGGACATTTGTGTATATATGTATATTTATCAATTCCAAAGTCATTGGAACAAGAAATACGAGGTAATGGCTAATGCTATGTTGTCTTATTCAGAGCATAGTAGCATCTTATAACAAACAAGTTGGTATGACTGTGGAAGATGCCAAAGTTGCCTTTTTGAAGATTATCTGCCGATGGCAGACGTTTGGTTGTGCCTTCTTTGAAGTAAAGGTAAAAAAAAAAACAAGAACTCAAACATTGAATTGTCATATTACTCTATTTTTATGCGGTATTGTAAGACATTCTCTCTTTTTCCAGCAAACGTCTGAGCCTAGTTTTCCAGATATAGTACAGATTGCTATCAGCAAACAAGGAGTGACAATCATCCACCCAAAAACCAAAGTAAATCATTTTCACTCTTGTTCATTTTTTGAGCAATTGTCTCTTTAGTTAATAGGTAATTTATTATTTGAAATGTTTGTTTTATAGTATTATAGTTCTCAACATATTTCCTTGATTTAAAGGATATACTGGCCACACACCCCTTTACTCGTATTGCAAACTGGTGCAGTGGTAGCACTTACTTTCACATGACCATTGGGAACCTTGTCAAGGGGAACAAGATTCTTTGTGAGACCTCACTGGTAAGTCAAGAAATGAAATTGTATTATACCTACCTGTGTTCCTTAATCTAACTTTTATGAAGGATTCTTAGTTCTCAGTAAAAGCACAAATAGTCATTTGCATTCTAATGCTGCTTTTTGACTAAACAGCTGATGGTGGAGAACAAAACAGCATAACAAACAGCTGAACTTAAAACAAAAGTATATATTTTACCCTGTGTGCTGATAATCTATGTCACTTATGTGCTTTGTCAGATGTAACTGAAAATGAAAGGACAAAGTAATTAATTGTTTCTGCTAGGAAGAGCCTATGACATTGAGCTTATGATTTTCATCTGGAATTCTGCCATTTCCAAAGAAATTGAGATGCTAAAGGTTGTGCATATTACAAGTCATAACTGTTTTCTTTCCCATTCACAAGGGCTACAAAATGGATGATCTTTTAACTTCCTACGTTAACATGTACGTCAAGGAGAGGAAAGGAGGACGGCCAAGAAATCAACGCATCCCTGCTTGAAGTCTACTGAAGCATGGAGGAAGCGAGCATAAAAGAGTTCCGTAAAGCACTGCCAAGCTGAAGGCTTGTGATGTCAATTTCTATGTAAGCTCTCTATCGGTAGTGCTCCTTTTGGCTATTTCTTAAATTGACTAACGTAAGCAATGGGGTATTTGTAAATTTTATGTTAGAGGTTACTACAGCTGAAAAAGGATTAAGTGTGGATGTATAAATACAGGAATTGCATGAATATTTGTTCTGAGATGAAAACCCCAATATCTATTACATAAACCAATGACTGGAATTGTGCACCTCAGTTGAGTCACCTAACTTCTTTTAAGGTCATGCAGATTTACTGATTGTACAATGAATCCCCTTCATATTATGTGAAAAATTCCTTTTGTGATCAGTCTGTCTTCACCATTGAAGACTGAAACCCAAATAGTAATTATCTATATAGTCATTTGAGTGATTTTTAAAATGTAATTAATATTTTTATATGATCCAAGTAAGGTTCAATTTATGTTCAGACCTAAGTGTGATCTGACCAAACTATAAAAAATAAGGTTAACTTATGGTGAAATGAATAAGCAATCAATAAATAATGACTTATTGCAAAAGTTCCAAGGTGTTTGTTTCTCACAAATCACAAATTTTATTGCCAAATGTAGATATTTTGTGGTTGTGTGGTAATTTTGCCACCATGCAGCATGAGTTTATTTAGGGCTGGTTGGGCTAAATCTGAACTGCCTTGTCCAGTGCTTAGGGACATATCCTAGTTACTTTCTCCCAAACTGCAGGAAAGAGATAACCAAAACATTTATAAAGTGCTTGATATCATTACAATATGGATGGGCCAGCTCAGGAGTACGGGGCACCTTGTATGACTACAGTATTCCCTCTTTTACACCACGTGCAGAATTATCAGGCAAGTGTTATTCCTGATGATAATTTTCAGCAATGCTTAGGCAACGTGATAAAAGTGAATTCATAATGCACAGAAAACAGAAACTATCAACAGAAATAATAATAAAATCAGTTTTAGTCTGTATAAGCAATAACAAACTATCAGCCATTCTGTATAGTCCACTTCACCAAGTTTAATGTCCTGTAGAGCCTCTTTTCTTAAACCATATGCTTGTTTATCCACTGAACCAGTCAAGTTTTTGTTTTGATCACAGTTTATATTAGCCAAGGCAGCCAGGACCACTTCCCAGATTCTGCTCAGAAAAGTGTACTGCTTGCCACTTCGGTAAGTGTCACATTATTGTAAGGCCCAGTAGTTCTCAACGGGAGTTAGATCAGTTGATGAAAGGCGAGGTCCTCATTAGATCACCTTTTATGCCTTTCTTAGCCAATCTATGGAATGCTCTGATGCATGGGAAGAGGCATTGTCCAGCATGAATATCATATCCTTTTGAATGCTGTTGACCTCCTCTTTACTAGTGTTTAAAGAAGTTGTCATCTAGATATTGGAAGTAGTCCTTTTACACCATCTGCAAGTCAGAAAGTTCTTACAGTTTAATCACTGATAATTGCAGCCCACACCATCACTCCTTTACCACCTTGTTGACACTTGAAGATTATCAAAAGTCCCTCACATCTCATCTGTCCACAGAACCTTTGTAAAATCAATCTTGAGACATGTTCATTCCCATGCTTGACATTTGAACTTATGTACCTGTTTGAGCTTTTGTGACCTTAGCAATGTCACATAAGACACTGCATTTAGTATTTATAGAGATCTCATTCAAATTGCAGTTTTGAAAAATGGTGGCACTTGATGCTAAATGGTTTCCTGAAGTCTGCCCTTTAATTTGACACCAATGCTTGGATAATTTGCATGTTCTTTTCTCTACATGCTTTTTCCGTCCTGTTTGCCTTTTGGACACAAAATACTTGATTGTACAATGATCACGTTGTAAATGTCTGGCAGTTTCTATTATCTTGAAACACCATATTCTTTTGCATCCTTATTTAAGGCATCCACTGTGGGGTGAAATGAAAAGGCCTCCTTTTTCCCATAGCCTGCTGCCCTCAGGCTACTGAGAAAGGGACATTTTTGTCCTTTTTATTCATAAGCCAACCGGTTATTAAAACAATCTAGCTTCTATTGTAGAGTAGCAGTTAAATTAACAGGGGTTACATGTGGGTACTCAGTCGTAGAAACTATGGGTTTGTAGCAGCTCCTTGTTGCTATGGCATTGCTACATGTAATTCATTGCAACTGAGGGTATTCTTCACTCTAAAATGAGACTGTACTCTTGACTTAGGCAATTGTCAAGAACACAAGTGATCCTCAGAGAAAAATGATGGTGAAGAACAGTTGGGGTCAAGGTTCAAATAAAAGCACCCAATTGGATCATTGTAATTAAATTTGTGAAGACAGAAAAGTTTCATAAAACAAGTTTTTTTTTTTTCTTTCTTTTTTTTTTGCTGTAGTGTTAGTATGAAGAGAGCAGGTTTCCCACCACTATCATACTCTCCTGCTGTATCTTCAGTCCACTCATGCAAACTGCATGCTACTTTGTAACCTTCTGCCCTAGCACCAGCTGTTGTTGGTCTTTCACCAGCAGCTGAAGAATATTTTCTTTCTGGATGCCTTTCATGAACACAGCATACTGAAGAGGGCTACTGATTGGTAAGCTTCCCTTTGGTTTGGATAAAAATGAAATGTTTTATGCTTTACTGCTATGTAAAAACTATGACAGAAATTGTCATTGTAATGCATAGATCTTTTATTTCAGCGATTTTGTCTTAGAAATTTGGACATTATATTTTATCTAAATAGTGATTCTGAGAAATGTATCTTTTGTTAAATATTTCAATTTACTTATGCCCATGATTTTGATATTAAAGTGTTTGTTTTTTTAAAATATGATCACAGACAGGTTATTCTGAGTATTTTGCCACACTCTGTACTGATTGTCAAAGAATGCAGTTTCATAATGCACATTTATAATCATAGTATTGCAGCAAAAATAAAATGTTTTGATTTCCAGAATGTGGAAATCCAGAGATTCTAGGAAATGAGTATAAACATGAGTGATGGCTGAATTTTACTTCACCTATTTTAGTCTGAAGTAAGGGATTGCTGAATTTTCATCATTTCAGTTGTCTCCCCTTGCTAAGATGTGGTAGAAAGATGTTCTTCCTCTGAATTTCTCCTTAAGTTTCTGAAGGCTTGTAGTGGCAAATAGCAGATAGCCATTGTCTTAGGCAGGCAGAAATATTAGTTACTGTATGATATATGTTGTCTTAGTAAATTCTAAATTTACTGTATGTACATACATGGTCAATTATATGTATATATGAAAATTAAATTTGAATCTGAATTTTATTTAGGTTAAACATTCTGTGGTTTTATTTGAAATACAGTTAGGAAATTTCTAGTAGAATTGTGAAATTTACTTAATTGGTTTCAGCTGGGTGGCGCATGAAATGTATGGGTGTGTTTCACAAAAAAGGAAAAAGTCCCTTGGATTGAGGCAAAACATCTCTTTTTTTTAAATATATTTTTGTGATTTGTTAGTATTGGTATACAGCAAGACCTTTCAGACAGAATATAATAGGGTGTGGCGCTCAGGCATGGTGCTGCCACTGACGAATCTGGGGACATCTGCAAATTCCCCAGGAACACTGATATCTTCCATTACACAGCCCCACTGACGCTGAAAAACCCCCCACCCTCCCAGCGCCTAGAGTGAGTGCAATGTTTACTACAATGAAACCTTCAATAAAAATTTAGATGGTAATGCTACTACATTTCATTACATAGCTAGATGCATAATTTTTTAACATGTTTTACACCTCAGATACAAACTTTGTTGTGCAAACAAATGTCTCTATAAAATATTTAAGTATTAAAACCAGTTGCTGTGGAATGTGCAGCTGAAACCTGAGTGGAGGAACAGATAAGTAACTTTTGTTTTTGTACAGACTATCAAAAAGCTCTTGGGTGCAAGTTGTAGCCTTCCTCCTGAGATGGATGAATTACTGCTTTGTTTGTTGAGGAATGCCACTCCCATTTTAGGGTCCAGCCTCATCTGTAAGAAACTCACCATGACATCCAAATTACAATGCAGAACCCTGAGGGGAAATAATGATTTCATTGACTACTTTCTCAACTACTGTATATGTATGCTATGTAACACCTTTGTATAGCCTCCAACTTCATGGAAAATTTTATTTGCATCCTTGATGTTCATGGGTGGCATCTTAATTTTTTTATTGTTTTTGTCTTTAAAATGGTAAAGATGGACACTCCAACAATGGAAGAATTTTCACAGTTTTACAACCAGTCATCTGAAGATTGTGGAGGTGCAACAGATTGGGAGAACATGATTTTTGGGATTTACTACATCCTAATCTTTTTCTTTGCTTTGATTGGGAACTGCTTGGCCCTCTGGATCTTCTCTTGCCAGCGTGGAGTTTCTTCCCCAGCCAATGCCTTTCTGCTACATCTTGCCATTGCTGACCTTTCCTATGTCATCATTTTGCCCCTTCGAGCCACTTACCATCTGACAGGGGGGCACTGGCCATTTGGTGAAATTCCTTGCAGAGTCGTGGGCTTCCTGTTCTACGTTAACATGTATGGTAGTATATACTTTCTGGCTTGCGTAGCTGGTGATCGATACCTTGCTGTGGTCCATGCTGTGAGATCTTTAAAGATTCGTCGACCTCTGTATGCTCACATTGCTAGTTTTTCCCTCTGGTTCCTGGTCATCGTGTCCATGGTGCCCCTACTGGCCAGCCAGCAGACATCTGAGATGGAGGGGGTGACTGTGTGCTTGCAACTGTATCGTGAGAAAGCTTCCCGTCATGCTCTCATCTCTCTGGCAGTAGCTTTCATTCCCCCATTCATAGCCACTCTGTCCTTCTACCTTCTTATCATTCATAGCCTGTGCAAGGGTTCTAGGTTAGAGTCAGCTCTCAAGCTCAAGATCCTGGGCACCATTGGACTGGTCCTGCTCATCTATGTGGTGTGCTTCCTGCCGTATCATGCCAGTCGAACAATTTACATCCTGAGCTATGGTCACCCCAGTACATCCTGTGAGGCTAAGAGGCGCCTGATGCTAGCCAATCGTCTCACTTCTTCCCTAACCTGCATGAATGGTGCCCTGGATCCCTTAGTCTATCTTTTTGGGGCAGAAAAATTCCAGGGAAGTCTGCGGAGGCTTCTTTGTAGGGATAAGGCAGGGGGTTCTGGTGCTACCAGTGGGGACCTGAAGGGAACGCATGACAGCTCTCTGAGTGCCAAATCTGAGCTCTGAAGATCCACACTAAGCCTGGAGTTTGAAATAAACATCAGTGATTATCTTATATTTTGTGAATAGTTTGTTAGTCTCCCCAAAACACAAGTGCTGAAATGACCTGAAATGTTTTTCTTTCATTTTTCTAAAACAAAATTTTGCTCATTTGGTCTTCTGTATTGTGTTCAGGGTTTTGGACAGATGAAAATGCAAACTCAGCATTAACATTTGTTTCAAGTCGCTAGTGGGATTTATATGTACCCCACTCTATATAAATATTTAATCAAGCTTCAGCCATAGTATATTTAACCTACAAAATCTCAGCTATTCTTTTTTGGCTTTAAATAGTTCCCTTTCTTTATTTTGCCATATGATTTTATAATAGTCTATTTAAAAATAAATTCCAGCAATGAAATTCTGTTATGAACTCTGTTATGAGTTATGAAATTCTGATTGGTCAAATTAAAGCTTTGAATTGTACTGCACACACACAATGTGCCTTGCTTTGGACTGCCACCCTGTTCAGGCTAGGCTCCAGGGTCCCATCCAATCCTGTATGATAGCACGATGGATGGATGAATGGATACTTTAAATAACATTCCATGATTCTTATGGTTCTTATGATTCTTATGGTTATGATTCTTCAGATCATGTGACCCACCCTCTGGTTTGTCTTATGGGTTCTTATGGGTATTCTTATGGGTTACACCTCCAGGATTGGGAGGTGGACTCCTGCATTTGCTGTGTGTGTGTGTGTGCAGTTTGTATGTTCTCCTTGTGTCATGTGGGTGTCCTCCTGCAGTCCAAGGGCATTCAGTTAGGTTTCTGTACTGGCTTTTGTAGATTAGCTATAGTGTATAAATGTGTGTGCATGTATGTTTCCTACAACAGGCTGGCACCCCATCCAGGGAGTAGCCCAGCATTGTCCCCTGTGCTGCCTGGGACAGGCTCTAGGCCCCCTGCGACCATCACCAGGATACATATTCGGAAGAGCGATGGACATTATGCATCATCTGCAAGTGGTTACTCAAAAAAAAAGGAAACAATAGCGAGGACTGTTATCAGCTATCAGTATACACATCACAATTGCATCCTTTAACCATGCTTTGTCCGTGTCATCTCAAAAATAGCTAGTTTGCATTCTTTCCATTATTTATTCTCGCACTTTTTACATGTATGTCAATAAAATGCTAAAGTCACGTGTGTGCATGTGTTTTTATTAAAGTTCTATTCAAGTTTAAAGTTGAAAAATGTTGGTGGTGGTCTGGAGGATGGGGTCACCTCATAAATGAGATAAAGAATGATTTGATTAACTAAATAATAAAGCTAATAAAGTTGTTTTTTGTTCTCAGCTGACTGTCTTGAAATGAGGTTCTCTATACTGTATATTGTTGTCTTATACTAATACTAGTGTCATCTAAACTGGTTTTAGCAAAGAGCTGGAACAATGAAATGAATCACACCAGTTTGCACTTGTCTAATTCCAATGATGAAGTCTCTGGTAAGTTTGAGATGGGTGGCCAAGAATGGAAATCCCCAGGTTGCTCACAGAGCGAAGCTTTTCGTTTCAGATCATGTGACCCACCCTGTGGTTTGTCAGCGTCTAATTCTTTGTTCTTTCTGTAAGACTTCCCATCTACTTTGTCGACTGTCAGGCATGCTCCTCTGCTGAACCCTTGCTTCAAGGTGGGAGTGGTAGACTCCAGCTACATACTGTAGAAAATGTCTTCATTTGCATTTGTTCTTGTGTTTAATTAATTGCATTTGTTATTGTATTTAATTAATATAACATATTAATTAATTCTAAATATATATATTCAAAATATATTTTTTCAATAATAACTTTTTGGAATGCCCAAAACACAAGAAAAATGTGTTACTTGAATGTGGCTCATGACATTTTCTATGGGAATTCAAGGCCTGAATAAAACAACAATTTTGGATAGGCATGATTTAGAACCACACTATAGCACCCACTATATACTGCCATGCCTATATTATACTCATTTAATTTCAGGGCACCTGTAATTTCACAAACTGCTTAAAATCTGACAGCATCACTGTCAATTTTCTACATGCACCAAACAGTGTGATCACAAAGTACAAGGCATGACATATTGAAATCTTCAGCATGTTCGCATGTCACTTCCTTTTGAGCTCAAACTGAGAGATGGAAAGATAAACAAGCTGCAAATACAATTCAGTTTTGTTAATATCATTTATGAATGTACTTCAAGAGTTTTGCATAAGACAACCGAGGCCTGGCTTATATTATAACAATTAATGGTCAATTTGTTTATTCTCCAGAAAGCTGGGGCTGCATGCACACTGGTATTGATTTCTGAGTAGCTTTCTAACTTGTAACTCTCAAGTACGAATGAGGAAGTGTAGCATGCTGTATGTAGCTGCTTCCTCCTCTACAGCTTTCGTCTCTGTAACAGGAAGAGATCGAAAGAGTGAGTGATAGGAAGAGACAGAAGCAGCACCAAGATGAATTTAACCAGAAAGCCAACTTAAATTTCCACTGACGAGTTTCTGTGTATTTTGAAATCAAATTAAAAAAACGAACAGAGTTTGAAAATAGAAACATAGTCAGTAGCCAGAATGGCAAAGCCTTGGTACCATGGGAATATTACACGTTCCAAAGCTGAGGACCTGCTTTCAAAGGCTGCAAAGGATGGAAGTTTCCTTATCCGTGACAGCGAGTCAATTCAAGGAGCCTTTGCCCTCTGCGTGCTGTAAGTAACTTTGTATGGCATTTCTGTTTCCCCTGGTGCAGTCATTTGAATGGGCTGCGTAAAGCAGCAAAGTGAATTTTAAGCTGACAGGCTCAGTGTCGAGCTTTTCATTACAAATAATGACATGGTGTAGGACCACCTGTTGCAGCCAATGGTAGGCACCTCTACCCTCACTGACAGGGGCTCCTATAAGGACAGTCATGTTTAAAAAGAGAAGGAGCAGTTTGTGGGTCAGTGTTTACAGAGGCTACAAATGCCTAGCCTCCAAAGAAGCCATGACTTACATATTTTGATTATGCAGATTATAGGCAAAGATGGCTGCTAGCATTACAGCATAGCATTCAAATGTAGGCCAGTTACTGTTAAACCAGACCTTTCAGATGGTGTGGATTTATGTCAAATATTACCCAGGTTCTTGTTATTCCTTGGGTGAGAAATCCAGTATGATGTACTGTGGCTTTATACTGAATATAGTTAAAATTGATTTGTAATATCATAATATGTCACCATATTGGAACTACATGCTTCTATATGTGCAAGTAGGGTAACAATAAAAATTACTATGCCTTCCCTGTTCAGTCACCAAATGACATCATGTCATTTTATGCCAGAGAAAAAAGATACCTTCATCAAATAATATTTAGCACAAAATGTATATAACTTGAGATGATGTGCATGGGAAGTGCATGATAAGTGCATGAGTGTTTCTGAAAGTTGCAGCACATGTTGAAGAACAGACTTGTTTTGTGTCTAATGTCTTGCCCTATCGATTGACTCTAGAAACTATTCTCCAAATGCTATCATCTGTTTGCTGTTTGGTTTGAAAATTAATGTGAATTGTATACAGTACATAGCTTAGGTATAATACAGCATAGTGTCACATTTCATTTTGCAGCTTTCCAGAAGTTATTTTTCATTTTATTCTTAATTTTTTTGTAGGTACCAGAACTGTGTGTACACTTACCGGATTTTGCCAAATGAAGAGAGAAAACTTTCTGTTCAGGTATAATTATGATACTTTTAGTGTTCAATAAAACACCACCAGATTTTCATTTCAGGATTTGTTTTCCTGATAGGTATTAACTATAACAATGTAAGTACATTCAGAAGTGGCCCCACATAAGTTAAATAGTTCTGCTTTTGTGTCCAGTCATGAAAAAATGTTTACTGCTAAGGCATTATTGTCCCATTCTACATGGTTATTAAAATGCCAGTAATGGCATTGAAATGTAAACGATTCAGTTTGCAGCATTTTTCATGTTCACACTTCGTTGGGTAAGAATGAGAGAGACATGATCAAGTCGTCCTATCTGAGGTTTCCAATGAATGTGCTGTTCTCAGGGATGTCTTATTGCCAGCCCAGCATGTTCACACTGCGTGGACTAGGACTTAGCATGGGAGACCATGTCGTCTTATTTGGGGCTTCACATGACTGTGCTCTTCTCTGGCCACTCCTATTGCTAGCCCTCCACTTTTTGTCCAGTGCAAAAAGGGGGGCCCTACTGGTGGCCTTTGGTTGTGAAATGCTACTGACCTTGCCTACTGATGTGTTGTTTGGTGACCCATTCCTTGCGAATTAATAGTAAGAATGCAGAAGGGCTGTGCCATAATTAGCACCAGTTTTGTCATGCTGTTTTAATTCTGCTGAAAACAGTACAGGTTCCATGAAATGTATTGCTGTCAAGCACTGGACACATATTTCTCTGAGAAAATGGAAGAACAGACCTTTACCTTACATAAGTAGCATTTATCTTCAATTCTGTACTTGGCTTGCATAACATTTCAAGTGATCTGCACTTATGAATGGCATTGTGAAAGTTTATGCATAACATTTAGAACATGATCATAGAATGAGTGGAGTAATATTGTAATTACAAAAATAAAAACTGTATTGTTGTTAGTTAGCTAGTACCACGATTACTGTGAAACAAAGTTTATATCTTATATTTTACAAATATTAAAACTGCTAAATTTTATGTATTGTGTTAAGGCACATTTCTCCATACTTCCTCTTCAAACTGTAGCAGGTCTGCAGTTTTAATTTATCCTTTTTGTGTGGGCGTTGAGAGAGCCACGCAGTTCCTCTTGTGCACAGCTGAAATGGAAAGTAGCTAATTTCTGCACCTTCATCTGTCAGTGATAATCGACTGCAAATATTTACTAATATTGCTAATATTGTCACTACACTGAATTATATGTATAAAGAATTCATAAGCTGACAACTGGTCCAGTGCAAAAAAGTAATAATGCTGTGTGAATGATTATTAGTTTTATTTGGTGAACAAAGTATTGCATCTCCAAAGAATCAGAATACTGGTTACAGGAATGATTCCTATCTTGCTAATGTCAATAATCTTTCAGTAAGAGTATTGGTGACACAAGAAGTTTGAACCTCACATAAGCTTAGAACCATTATATGTAACACATTACAGCATTTTATTTGTCTATCCACCAACCATATTCTTTACTGGTTATTCAGTACAGGATCTTGAAACCTTAGTGACTTTGACTTTAGCAATGGAATTCTATCAGTCATAGCTTGAAATTTAAAGTCTTCAAGAAATTCCCTTTCATTTTAAGATAAAGACAAAGGGCACATCTTGCACCTGAAGATGTGCTGTGGTAGGGTTATTTTTTGTTTAATTTATTTGGAAAAAGTAGTGAGGTTGGTCAGTACATTATTGTGCATATTGGTTTCCTCTACAGCTTTCTATTTTGATACATCTACAGACAGAAAATTATATTCTGTCCTCATACCCTTACAAAATTCATTGTATCACATATAGAATTTAATAGCTGTATGTGGAAAGATGCTTCTTCAGTATGCTGTGAATTTGTTTTCCTGCATTCAAGAAAAATTACATACTACTAATTAAAAAATTCAAAAGTCTTCGGATAATATTGCTTTGTATTAAAAAAGAAGGTGAGTTTCAACAAATCTAGAGCAGTCTTTGTCATATTTGACAGACATATTTGAGTCTGAGGACATTTGTTCTTGTCATGCTCCATGTCAAGGCCTCCGCGGGTGTCCCAATCCGCTTTTTCTCTGTGCTGAATGACTTGGTGGAGGAGTACTACAAGGAGAACATGGGGCTGGTGACACACCTGCAGTTCCCAGTTCAGAAGGAAGAGGAACCAGAAGAGGAGTCAGGTACTGAACTCTAGCAGTTGCTCACCGCTGTATCAGCCAATCATCTGAAAGCCATCCAAACATATCTACTGACCTATTTTGTATAATGACTGCCAACAGATTTTGTTTGAAAAGCAGCATGTTAAAGATAGTTTTGCATAGTTGCCAAATGCTTCTAAATAGAAAGTCCATGTAAATAGGCCAAAGTATTGAATCTGTTTGTATAACACCAATGATTCAGATGATGAATAGTCTGGAAATTGCCAGGTGGCTGTTACATGAAAACCGTGCAAATATAGTATAGCAGGTTAATGTGTTTCTGTACACTTACATATACTGAGTCTGTTGCTGCCTCTGTCAGCTATAGCACGAGTGAAGTGTAGTCCTACCGAGCAGAAAGCACCATTAGGAAAAAGAAGCTGAAATGGATTCATAACATAATGGCTGATTTCTGTTTGATATTAATATTAAAAGATTCATAAATAAATGATTAATGGGCTCCTGCAAATCTGAAATTCCAGGCATTTACCCAGTGGGCTGATTGTTTTGGGCCAGATGAATTTAGTGTGTAGATCCCCCGATCAACAAAATGTATCATAGGGAACCACCACCCCCAACCCCTGGCACGGAAAAATATATTCTTGGGGACTCCAGCCCCGCCTCAACCCCAACTACAATAAGCAGTTGAAGATGGATGGATGGATGGATGACAATTATTCTCAAATGCCTGCAGTGTGAAAATCATTTTAGACATGAAAATCTATCAAATTCATCAGAGGTCTGAGCATGCTATAGTGAAGTTAGTCATATTTACCCCAAAATATAGTCATCGACACTGGACTCTAATGCTTAGTCATTTATAATATAAGTGTGAGTATCTCAGAAGGAACTGGGGACACCTTTCCATCACAGGGGATATATTGACATTTAATATGGGTAATTTAGAAGCCTAAGAGGCTAAACATTGAGCCACTATGCCACCCTGTTTCAAAAATAACTGTTCAAAAATGGAACTGCTCACAGAAATCAGTCAGTTTTACTTTTTACGGCTCATCTTTCCACACACTTAGTAAAGTACAGGCAGTGGCCAGGTTACAAATGAGATTTGTTCCCTAAGTCTAATAATAATAATAATAATAATAATAATAATAATAATAATAATAATAATAATAATAATAATAATAGTAGTAGTAGTAGTAGTAGTAATACTGGGGTGTGGCATGGTGGTGCAGTGGTTAGAACTGTTACCTCACACCTCTGGGATCACAGAGGTGGGACCACCTCTGCCTGGGTTACATGTGTGTGGAGTTTGAATATTCTCCCCATGTCGCCGTAGGGTTTTCGCCGGGTACTCCAGTTTACCCCCACAGTCCGAAAGACATGCTGAGGCTAATTGGAGTTGCTAAATTGCCCATAGGTGTCCATGTGTCAGTGAATGGTGTGTGAGTGTGTACTGTGATGGGCTGGCCCCCCATACTGGGTTGTTCCCAGCCTTGTGCCTGTAGCTTCTGGGTTAGGCTCCTGTGACCCAGAAGGATAAGCGGTTTGGAAAATGGATGGAATAATAATACTGTAATAATAAAAGTAAAACTACGTATGATAAAATATTTTCATAAGCTTCGTAAAGTACTGTGTGCATTCGTTATAATGAAACATTGTATTTAACATGAATTTTTAATATAACAGGTTTTATGGTAGTCTGTACAATAAAATAAGTACGAGTGACATTCTTAACCCGGGGACTGCCTATATAATCTATATTACCTATATAAAAATGTAGATTTCCAAAGATGTTGTCACGCCCAGCTCCGTACGATCCTCGTGTGTGCCACGCCCCCTCATCACCTCGTGTCAATTCCTGATTGTGATCACCTGTGTCCTGTTATTTCTGGCTAGTCTTGTGTATTTAGTCCGAGTCTGAGTATGTCTCGTCAGATCCGTCATTGTCGTGTTGTAATGTTTAGTCGCCGTCAGTCTTGTGTGCTGAATAAACCCCGTTTGCCCGTCTTACTGGCTTGACTCACCTGCTTCCCCGTTCGCCTGCCAGCGGATACAACAGATGTAGTTGAAGAAACCATTTTATTATAGTCTAAAATGACCACGATTTAGCATATTTTACTATGAACGTATGGTACAGGATAATTTTTAGAACAACAAAAGTACATATTAGAACACATTAGTTCTTGCAGGGGCACTGTTGCCTCACACCTCTGGGGCTAGGGTTCAGGTCCCTGCCAGAGTTCCATGTGTGTGGAATTTGCACGTTTCCCTGTTTGTTGTGGGGTTTCCTTCAGGTACTCCAGTTTCCCCCATTAGTCCAAAAACATGCTGTGGCTAATTAGAGATACCTAATTTGTGGTAAAGTGTGGCATGGTGGTGCAGTGGTTAGAACTGTTACCTCACACCTCTGGGATCACAGAGGTGGGACCACCTCTGCCTGGGTTACATGTGTGTGGAG